GCTGGAACACTCGGCCATCTTTTGCTGCTTTCCCAGGTCCCTTAGCAGGGAGCTAGATTGAAGTGGAGAAGCTGGGACTCGAACCAGCCCCCAAAGGGGACACTGGCATCCCAGGCAGCGGCTCCCCCTGCTGTACTACAGTACTGGCCCCTTGGCATCTTGCTCCCTTGCTCTTCTGGGTCACGTGCTGTGGGGTGGGCTGGCTGCCACGTTGTAAGCACACTCAAGCAGCCCAATGGAGAACCCTGCAGCCTCCTGCCAAGAGCCAGTGCCATCCAGCAACCCTGAGAGCGCTCCCTGCACCTGCAGCCCTGGCCTAAGTATGTTTAAAAAATTATTTATTTTCATTCTATTTGAAAGGCAAAGTTAGAGACAGACACAGAAAGAGAAAACTTTTAGCCACTCTTCACTCCCCAAATGGCTGCAACAGCCAGGGCTGGGCCAGTGTGAAGCCAGGAGCCAAGAGCTTCATCTGGGTCTCCCAAGTGAGTGGCAGGGACCCAACCACTTAAGCCATCACCACTGTCTCCCAGGGTACGCATTAGCAGCACATTGGATAGGAAGCGATGGAGCTGGGATCCTGTGGCACAGCAGGTTAAGCTGCTGTCTGCAGTGCCGGCATCCCTTATAGGAGCTGGTTCGAGTCCTGGCTGCTCCAATCTGCTAATGTGCCTGGAAAAGCAGCAGAGGATGGCCCAAGTACTTGGGCCCCTGCACCATATGGAAGACATGGAAAAAGCTCCTGGCTCCTGGTTCGGCCTGGCCGTTGCAGAGTCCCAGCAACTCTGCTTCCAATCCAGCTCCATGCTAACGTGCCCTTGAGTTCCTGCCACCCATGCGGGAGAACTGGACAGAATTCCTGGCTCCTGGCTCTGGCCTGGCCCAATCCTAGCTGTTGTGGGCACTTGAGGAATGAACCAGTAGATGGAAGAGCTCCGTCTCTGTCACTCTTTCAAGCAAATATTTTTAAAAGAGTGAATTCAATCTAGAAAGTGAGCTGAAAGAGACAGAGGATCCTGGCCTTGTCTGTCATGCTCATTGCTTTAGCCCTGGTATCTGCATCTGAAACAGGGCGTGGAACACAGCAGGTGCTCAATCCTTACTTCTTTTTTTTTAATATTTATTTTTATTATTTTATTTATTTGAAAGCGTTACAGAGGAAGGAAGAGACAGAGAGAGAGATCTTCCATCCACTGGTTCACTCCCCAGATGGCTGCAATGGCCGCAGCTGCGCCGATCCGAAGCCAGGAGCCAGGAGCCAGGAGCCAGGAGCCAGGAGCTTCTTCCAGGTCTCCCACTATGGTACAGGAACCCAAGCACTTGGGCCATCTTCTACTGCTATCCCAGACCATAGCAGAGAGCTGGCTTGGAAGAGGAGCAGCCAGGACTAGAACCGGCACCCATATGGGATGCTGGCGCTTCAGGCCAGGGCTTTAACCCCCTGTGCCACAGCACCGCAGCGCTGGCCCTTTGATCCTTACTTCTTAGCAGAGAACGAAGCCAGCAAAGCAGAGAACACTCTGGTGTTGCTTTGTCCCAGCGCCCTGATTTCCCTCCTGCCTTGGCCTCCGCTGGGTCACTCACCCCAAGACCTGGAAAGAGGCCATCGGCCCTCCTCTCCATCTATATTCACCCCCTCAATGGTGAGTGATGGGGGGTTTGTACGACTGTCAGTAGAAAATGCAGTTCATCTCTCAATCAACATTCCTTAAATCCACCTCTAGACATCAGGGCGCCGGCAGGTGCAGTTTGCCTGGGCATCCATAATGATAGGGTCAGTGCACTTTCAAAAACTCTGTGGCCGCCTGGTCACCGGGGCTATTTTCCAAACCTGGAGCACCTGGGGACACTGGGGGAAAACACAGATTCCCGTCACTGCCCTGGAGACACTGGAGTCAGTGCACCTCCGGGTGACTGGAGCTCAGGAATCTGGTTTCTAAGAGATTCTTTTGGTCTCCAATATTGAGAAACACCACCCAGGCCTCTGGGAGCACGGAACATTCTGGGAATGCAATGAGGCCTTGGCACAAGGACCAATCTTACAAAAGTTGCAAGATCCAAATCCCAATGCACTGAGGGAAAAAGAAAACAAGCAGTTGTCTGTAATCCCAGTAGACTACGTGTTTATCAACTGCCTCTGGGGCAATGCACAATTTGTTTTGCTTTAAAAAAAAGTGTGCCCCCCCCCCCTTGGGCACCTTGCTGACTCAGCAGTTATTGGAAGATGGTCCTACTGAGATTATTCTAATGTGCAGAGGTTGCTGGAGATAGCCCCCCCCGGGGGGGGGCTCTCTGCCTCCGTGGAAGGATCAGCCTGACCAGTGGCACTGTAACCCAGGTCTGCCTCCACGTCAGAGTTTACACAGCTCATCAATGACCACTGAGCTCATCACCACCCACCTGCCCCCAAGAACTCACTCCTGCTCCCAGACAGAAGTGAGAAAGCCAGGCCTCCTGCAGACTTCACTGCTCCCCACGTTGTGCCAGCAGCCCTGCCAATCCCCTCGAAAGGACGGTTCAAAAGTCTTCAAGGAGCAGGCGTTTTAGCCTAGGGATTAAGACACCTGTATCCCATCGTTAAGTGCTTGGGTTCGACACCCTGACTCCAGCTCGTGCAGACCTTGGGAGGCAATCATTGTGGCTCAAATAACTGAGTTCCTGCCACATATGGGGAGAGCTGCATTGAGCTTCCAACTTCCCACTTTTGCCCCAGCCCAGACCCAGCTATCGCGGGCATTTGGGGAGTGAACCAGTACTGAGCAGTTTTTCTCTCAAATAAATCAGTCAATCACATTAAAAAAAAAAAAAGCATAGAAATGTTCCCCATTGCCATTACACTGGGCTTCTGCACCCCAATTTGACGTTCAGCCACTCTGAGCCAGACACAACTCCTTCCCTGGGGACGTCCACATGCTGGGACAGGGGTTCAGCCTCGCACTTAAGGCGCAGGTTAGGGTGCCCACATGCCGTGTCACGGTGCCTGCTCTCTGCTCCAACTTCCTGCAGGCACAGACCCCGGGGAAGCAGCAGTCATAGCTAATCGGATTCTTGCCAGGAGACCGGGATCGAGTTCCTGGCTCCTGGCTTTGGCTTGGCCCCATCTCAGCTCTTGAGAGCATCTGGGGAGTGAACCAGCTGAGGGAAGCGCTCTGTCTCTCAAATAAGTAAATTTAAAAAAAGAAGAAGTAGAAGCAACGCTCCACGTTCTAATCCCTGGAAGCTGTGACTGCTGCACAAGTCACTTTGCAGATGTGACTGCTTTCAGGGCTGTGAGACAGAGGGGTCAGCCTGGGCTATTTGCTTGGGCCCAATCTAACAACAGAGTTCTTAGAAGTGGAGTCGCCGGGGCCGGCGTTGTGGCACAGCGGGTTAAACTGCTGCTTGAGATGCCGGCATCCCATACGAACGAGTCCCCCCCACTCCACTTCCTGCCCAGCGCCCTGCTAATGTGCCTGGGAAGACAGCAGAAGATGGTCCCATTGCGTGGGCCCCTGTCACCCACCTGGGAGACTCAGATGGAGTTCCAGGCTCCTGGCTTCAGCCTGGCCACAGCCCTGGCCGTTGTGGCCATTTGGGGAGTGAGCCAGCAGATGGAACAAATCTCTCTTCTCTGTAATTCTTTCAAGTAAACAAAAGTACGTCTTGAAAAAAAGTGGAGCAGCTTTTCTGGCCGTGGTGAGAGATGTGGCCAGGGAAGAACGGCCAGAGCTGGGATGGGTTCAAGGATGGAGAAGGGAGGCCCGGAGCCAAGAAAGGCGAGCAGCCTCGGAGGAAAAGCCACAAACAGCTTCTCCCCTGGAGCCGCGGGGAAAGATGCAGCCCTGCGGACCCCAGCCCCCAGCCCCGCGGACCCCAGCCCCCAGCCCTGCAGACCCCAGCCCCCAGCCCCGCGGGCTTTTATAGAACTCTGCGCGAGAAACAGCCCTGATCTGAAGCTGTGACAGTAAACTGATGGCGCGCATGCTCCCAGCAAGGCTTCCTCCAAACTACTTCGCTTCCTACTTTCCTTGGCCCGGACACGTGTTCTCCTGCGACCACATCTTTGCCCTGCCATTGTCCTGCCTGCTGCACGCACTCTGGCTTCTGAGCTGTCAACAGCTACGCTGTGTCCTCAGCACTGACCGCCCGGCGGCGGCACCCACTGCCCACACAGCGCGCTCCCGCTAGATGGCGAGCTCCCTGAAGGTGGTGCCTAGGGCCCGGTTTCCTCTGGCCCCCATCCCCCCACCCCCGATGGTCAGGAGTGGTCCGCAGGGGTGTGTAGAACAGACCCGGAGCCTTCTGCTGCCTGGGATCAGACGCCGAGGAAGAGCAGAGGCAGAGCCACAGGCATCCTTGCAGGAGGATTGCCAGGAACCAGAGTCGAGTGAAAGCAGCAAGCGCTTGAAGAGTAAGTAGAATACAATGTGAAAAGGGAGGGGAAAAAGGAATATGTGTATACATTTGGAAAGACTTGACTATCGTTGGAAAGATATCAAAAGGTTCGTGGAAATGGAATTAAATTTATTTTGGTGCAAAAAAATGAAATCTGTGAATACAAGGGGGTCTTTAAAAACTTCACAAAAGGTGAATATTATGAAAAAACTGGGGCTGGTGTTGTGACACAGTGGGGAACACCACCTGTGATGCCAGCATCTTATATAGGCGCTGGTTTAAGTTCCAGAGTTCCAGCTGCTCCACTTCCAATTCTGCTCCCTGCTAAAGGCCTGAGGAAGCAGTGGAAGATGGCCCAAGTGCTTGGGACCCTGCACCCATGTGGGAGACCAGGATGAAACTCCCGGCTCTGGCCTGGCTCAGCTCTGGCCACTGTGGCCATTTGGGGAGTGAACCATCAGATGGAAGACCTCTCTCTCTGTCTCTGTGACTGTGACTTTCAAATAAATACATACATAAACCTTAAAAAAAGAAAACAAGCAAGCAAAACTATGTGTTGATTTCAAATTTGGGGGATCAAAATAAAGCTTATCAATAGATGCAGACCCAGAGGGCAGGACAGGAAGGCAGAGAAGAAAACATCATCTTTAATCAAGCCACCTGCACAGAAACCCGGGGCGCACTCCCCACCTGGCAAGGGCCCCCCGGCAAAGACCATTTATAAAAACGAAAGGCTTCAAAGCACCAGTGGCTAAACCTGCCAGTGGAGGAGGGGTGGAGACGCGAGAGCTGGAGGCGGCGCTGGCCCCACCGGCTGACCTGGCTGAGTCTGGAACCTGGTGCCTGTGGTGGCCAGAGGATGGCCTGGGACTGACGGGTTAGCCTGCGGGTGTGGATGGCGGGGCGGGGTGGGGCTGGCGTTCTAGTTCAGGATAGATGGAAGGGTGGAGACAAGGAGGGGGGAGGTGACCACAGATAGGCCCAGGTACACAAAGCACCCGCACCATCTGGACTCCCCTCCTTTCCCCAGCGCCTCCCAGGGCTGCTCCTGTTCTGCAGATCGGGACGCTGAGGCCTGGTCCTCAGGATTTCGGACACCAGCCAGTGTGCAGAGTCCCCGGGGGTGGCTCTGGAGGAGGGCTGGCAGAGAGAGCTCTCACCTCTCCCTGCCCCTAAGGAAGGGTGGGGGTGTTGGCCCTTCTGACCCCCTACTGCCCATCCCCCCACCCCTCTAAAATGCCTCTGGGATTGGGAGAGGTCACTTCTGGGCCCTGGAGTGGTGGCAAACGCTGGTGATGTGCAGACACGGGTGTCAGGCGGTGCCGACCAGCCCTTGTGCTCTGGACCTCCCGTCTCCCGGGAGGTGGTGGAGTTGCTAAGAGGGAGCAGAGCATGGGGGCAGCAGGCCTGGCTCAGGGACCAGGAGGGGGTGCTGAGCTGTGACTTAATTTCCCTGGAGGAGGGAGCTTGCTGAGGGTGGGTACGGGCTGAATCTAGCATGGCTTCCCCATGGGCCGGGCTGAATTCAGGACTCTAGGCTCTGTCCATCTGGTGAGAGAGCAAGTGGGCATATTGCTTTACGACAGGCGTCGACGAGGGTGGCGGGCGTGTGAGTGAGGTGGAGACCACGTGGGTTCAGGAGTGTCCAAGCTGGAAGGGGCGGGGTGGGAGGTTGGAAGTGGAATCCAGAGACCCGACACTGGGTTTTGGAGACTGAAATTACAGGAAGCACATTGTTCAAGGCCTGCTCCCACCTAAAGCCCAGCTGTGTGGCCTCAAGCAAATCACACCTCTGGGCCATGTCTGCAGAATGGGAATTATAATCTCTGCCCAGGGAACTGAGAGTCAAATGAGGCAGCTAGAAGGGTCCACCTGCTAAGAGATCGTTTCAATTACTCAATGTAACTGAGGCACAGAGTGGGCAAGGCTTTGCCAGAGGCCACACAGTTGGTGAGGGAGCTGCGACCTGAACCCAGCACTCCTGCCCCAAGTTCACAGTAGCTCTTCCAGGGCTGGTGAATGAGTGTGGTGCCATGGGGTGAAACTCTCTGCCCGGATGCTTCTCTCTGGACAGGGGCAGGGTGCTGGGTGAAAGGTAAAAGGGAGAGACTGGAGAATGCAGGAAGGCCCCAGCGCACGCCAAGACTGAGATAAAAAAAAATACAAATCTCGATATCCCCATCCCCTGCCTCGCGTTGCTCCACCCCCAAGTCCAGGCGGCAAAGGGCCAAGTCCAAGTCCACAAGTCCGCTTCTCTGGCCGCAGACCCACGTAGGGCCGGCGCAGGCTGCAGTCGGTCCACGGGCCGCCAGGGGGCGCGCCAGCCCATCTCGGCCAGAGCCGGCTGCGGGCGCTTGTCCGTCCAGCCTCCGAGGGCGCAGCGCCTGCAAGGGCGTAGGGCAGAAGTTACCCCGACCTGCAGGAAACAAAGACAGGTTAAGGCAGTGGACTCCAAAGGTATGGGGGCGGAGAGATGCGACTGCCCTGCGCTCCCCCGTTCTCCTCTTCCCCAGCACCACACCCCACCCTTCCATCCCCAGCCAGCTCCTGGCCAGGACCCACGTGTACAGAGGCTGCAGCTGCAGATGCGATGTCTTCTGGGGCGCCTGGTACCCGTAGGAGTCGAAGCCGCCGATGAAGTCAACTGCGGAGGGGGAGGGGCGCACAGTTAGGGGCGTGCCGGCTGGGGCGCGAACCATGGCAGGCTGGGTCCTGAAAGGAAGAATCCGACCCCGGGAAGCCGAGCCAGAGAAGCCAGGGGAGGCCCAGGCTAGCAGGGGTCAAGTGGCCGAAACGGGCGGCCCTGCAAGGAGTGAAGCCCTAGGGAGCCAGGCACGAACCAGGGGCCGAGAGCTCGCATGAGCAGGACAACGTTAGCGCCCGTGGTGCTGGAGCGGCTGCCGTGGCGTCTCCCTACGCAGACCCCTCCACCGGCTGCTGCCGCGCCTGCCCCTCCAAAGCGGAAACCAACCCTGAGCTCCCTCCCGCCCGCCCGCCCGGCCCGGGCCCTGTCCAGGGTGCTGAAGGGAAGGGAGGCGCGGTGGCGCCTTACTCACAGCTGTCCTCCTCTTCCAGGAACACTTTGCTCACGTAGCAGGCGAACACAAAGCCGAAGAGCTGGGGGCAGGGTGGGGGGAGACGAGTCAGGGAGGGGGGGCGCTGCCAGGATAAAGCCCGACCCTAACAACTTCAAGTTCAAAACACTGCACCTTGGGGAGGGGGCAGTGTTGTGGCACAGCAGGTAAACCCTATGGGGCCAGTTCGAGTCCCGGCTGCTCCACCTCCGATCCAGCTCCCTGCTCATGTGCCTGGGAAAGCAGCGGAGGATGGCCCAAGTCCTTGGGCCCCTGCATCCACATGGGAGACCTGGGGGAAGCTCCTGGCTCCTGGATTCCGATCAGCTCAGCTCTGGCCGTTGCGGCCATCTGGGGAGTGAACCAGTGGATGGAAGACCTTTCTCTCTGTGTAACTCTGTCTTTCAAATAAATAAAGTAAATCTCTAAAAATAAACTGAACCTTAAAATCAAACATTTCTGATCCCATTCCCCATCCTGGGAAAGTGACTGTGACAAGTAATTATTTTACCTCTTGAGCCTCCGTGTTATTTTTGTGTTTGTTTTCTGGAAGTGAGCAATGCCTTATTAGCATGTTAATTGGAAAGACAATTGTGTCATTTTGTGGGTATGAAGTGCTGGGGTCAGGGCTGGCCCTCCCAGAAACTGGAAGATTTTTTGTTTGCTTGCTTGTTTTGTTTTTTTGTTTGGCTTATAAACAATGGAAATTTCAAGTCGGGGATTGACATGCTGGTAGACACAGTGATACATGGATTCTTCTCCACGTCATTACTCAGTGGAAGGGGGAGGGGCGGCTCCTACTATCTTGGAGCCATTTTTGTATTCTCATAACTAGAAGAGGTTGGTACTGTCACTCATTGCTGTGAATAAGGACAAGCATGGTGAGGGTGAGTGACACGTACAAGATCACACAGTGGGAGTATGGTACTTTTTGGTTTTTTTGAAAGGCAGAGTGACAGAGGAAGGGAGACAGCGAGTGATCTCTGTTGCTAATTCACTCCCACTGGGCACAAAAGCCAGGGCTGGGCCAAGTCAAAGCTGGGAGCCAGGAAATCCATCCCAGTCTCTCACATGGGTGGCAGAGACCCAAGCATTTGCGCCACCACCTGCTGCCTTCCCAGGGTGCACGGGCAGTGGAGGAGGGACTCAACCTCAGGTATTCTGATATAGGACGTGGGCGTCCCAGGAAGTGACTTAACCTGCTGTGCCACAGCACCCACTCCGTGTGGTACGTTAAACCCAAGACTGACTCACAGCTGGTGCCTCAGCCTGTTTGTTAATCTTGCTCACTCCCCAAGTGGGGGCTGGGTAGGCATAAAAGGAGCTGGGGCAAGATATGGAATCAGATCTGACCAGAAGCCCAGACAGGCTGCAGGACCTAGATTCACTCCTGCTTAACTAGGGCTAAAGAAAGGGCTTGGGGTGGAGGCTCCCACATCTGGGAGTGTGGGGGTGGGGGATGGAAGGACTCACTGCCAGGAAGATCTGCAGCGCGCTGCTGAGGGCTTCGATGTAGGGATAGTCGAGCAGGCAGCCAGTGACAGAGATGACATGGTGGTCCTCCAGGGCCAGGCGGGAATTCAGAACAGGCGTCACCAGGCAGCCTGGCCCATTCTCCATCCACCAGGAACGGTGCAGGGATGTGTTGAAGGTCATGATGAAGTCCCGATCCTGGGAGCAAAGGGGCCTGGGATACTGAGCAGGGGAGGGAAGGGAATACTCCCCAGGCTCCAGAAGACTTGACATGAGGCCTGCTTCTCCCCTGGACTGTCGGGGCAGCTCTGGGGCTTGATTAGTGACAGGACCAGGAGTCAGAACTGCACATCCATAACTGGCCAGTAGGTGGCATTTCATGATCATGCAGGCTGCATGCTTCCATTCCTAAGATGCAACTGGGCTGGTGTTTGACTCAGAGGAGCCCATGTCAGGGCTGGAGGGGACACCAGGAGTTGGCCGGTCCACTTTCCCAGCCATTGGGGAAGCCCTCAACTCAAGCCCTAGCACAGCCCATTCAGTTTCCACCGCTTCCTCTGTGTGTGACCCTGGGGAAAACTCTCCTCTTTGCATCTGTTTTAAAAGGCAGAGAGAGATGGAAAAATAGAGACAAAAGCTCCCCACCTGCTGGCTCACCCCTCAAATGCCTGCAACAGCAGGGCCTAGGCCAGGCCAAAGCCAGGAGCCAGGAATTCAATCCAAGCTGGGCGGAAGGACCCAGCTCCTTGAGCCATCACTGGCTGCCTCCCAGGATCTGCAGTAGCAGGAAGCTGGAATGGGGAGCCAGAGCCGGCACTCAGACCCATGTACTTCAGTGTGAGATACGGTGTTTCAACCACAGGGCCAAACCCCTGTTCCTCTTCCACGTGTTGAGTGGAGAAGGGCTGACCTGGATCAGAAGTTCTGACCCAAGGTGTACATCCATGTGTTCGTTGATCCTTTCACTTCTTCAGTCATTTAGAGATCCACTGTGGGATGACTGGGAGCCCAGCACTCAGACGTGTGATCTCATCCACCCGCCCCCCCAGCAACCACGTGCAGCTCTGTCTCCACTGACTGAGTGAAGAAGCTGAAGTTCAAGGAGCCCAAACCACTCACCCAGGGTCACCCAGCTGGACATGGAAGAGCTAGGATGTGAATCTAAGAGGGTCAGGTTATGAAGCCAATGCTCTTATCCACATGTTATGCCTCCTGAGTATCTAAAAATAGAATTTGTGTCATTCTGGCTTTGCTCTTTTTCAAGCTAAATGGCCTGACTTTCTTCAATATTTCCCCATGTGACACAGTAAGCTCAATTGTCCCTGAACAAGCCCTAAGTAGTTTCTTTCCCCTCTGAAAAGCATGGATCAGAATTGGACCCAAGTCTCTGTCCGCACAGTAAAAAGTGCAGGGCATTTTCACCTCCCTTGCTCTGAATGTCCACCTCTGTCATGGAGTCTCAGGAGAACTTTCTGGGCCACCATCTCCTGTTGGCTTTTATGAGCTTGCGATCAACTGGGACCTCCAGCTCATCTGCACACAGGCTGCTCCTCGGCCTCAGCTGCTTTGTCATTGGTTCTGAGATGCACAGAGGAGGCCAGGAGCAAAAATGTGGGCATGAAGAAAGGGGAGCGCAGATTAGTTGGATGCAGGGAGAGAGGGAAGTCTCTTCAGGACAGGACGTCCCCGATCCACACCACACCAGGAGCCCCGGGGTAGGGGAGGGGGAAGGTCCGGCCTGCCCTTGGCACTGCCTGGCCTGAGGCTTACCTGGGACAGCTGCCCGACCTCCAGGTAGAAGCAGATGATGAAGGCATTCCAGCCCACCCAGAGCACCAGCCAGGCTGCATACTGTGGAAAGCAGAGGTGGGGTCAGCCTGGGGCCTGGGGGAGCGGGGAGGGGGTGTCAGTGGAGACAGAGCTGGAGGACTGAGGAGACCCGTGCAGGGGACACTAGGACAGTCCCTTACTCAGAGAGCATGCTGGAGTTTACAAATGCTCACACACATCCAGTGCCCACTACAGACCTGCAAGGGAGGCCCAGGCCTCTGCTTAGACAAAATAAACAAGGTCAAGGGGAGGTTTGAGCTTCCTAAGATCACACAGAGGGGGAGGTAGGGCCAGCACCCAAACCCTATACCTTTGACAGCCAGTTCTCTCTGCTCTTCAGAGAACCATAACTGTTAGGCCAGCAGGGTCTAGTAAAATCACACAGGGACTTTATTAAAATTGCAGATTCCTGGGGTCAGCATTGTTACATGGTGTGTTAAGCTACTGCCTGAGATGCCTACATCTCATATCAGAGCACCAGTTCAAGTCCCAGCTGCTCTGCTTCCAATCTGCCTGGGAAAAGCAGCAGAAGATGGTCCAAGTACTTGTACCCTTGCCACCCATGTGGGAGACCCAGATGAAGTTCCAGGCTCCTAGATTTGGCCTGGACCAGCCCTGGCTGTTGAGGCCATCTGGGGAGTGAATCAGCGGATGAAAGATCTGTTTCTCCCTCTCTGTCACTTTGCCTTTCAAATCAAATCAAATCAAATCAAATTAATCTTTTAAAAAATGCAGATTCCAGGTCAGCGCCGCAGCTCAATAGGCTAATCCTCCACCTAGCGGTGCCGGCACACCAGGTTCTAGTTCCAGTCAGGGCGCCGGATTCTTTCCCGGTTGCCCCTCTTCCAGGCCAGCTCTCTGCTGTGGCCCGGGAAGGCCCAAGTGCTTGGGCTCTGCACCCCATGGGAGACCAGGATAAGTACCTGGCTCCTGGCTTCGGATCAGCGCAGTGCGCCGGCCGCAGCGCACCAGCCGTGGCGGCCATTGGAGGGTGAACCAATGGCAAAAGGAAGACCTTTCTCTCTGTCTCTCTCTCTCTCTCACTATCCACTCTGCCTGTTAAAAAAACAAACAAACAAACAAAAAAACAAACAAAAACAGATTCGTTGGTTCTACCCTCCAGACATACGGATTCTGAATTTCTTTTTTTGTAAAGATTTATTTATTTATTTGAGAGGCAGTGAGAGAGAGAGAGAGAGAGAGAGAGATCTTCCATCTGCTGGTCCACTCCCTAAATGGCTGCAATTGCTGGAGCTGGGCCAATTCAAAACCAGGAGCTTCTTCAGGGCCTCCCACATGGGTACAAGGGCCCAATAATTTGGGCCATCCTCCACTGCCTTCCCAGGCCATCAGCAGGGAGCGGGATTGGAAGTGGAGCAACCGGGACTCCATGTTGGCACTGCAGGAGGAAGCTTATCCTACTACACCACAGCACCTGCCCCAATTCGGAATCGCTTTTAAACGTGTATTTATTTATTTGAAAGGCAGAATGAGAGAGAGAGAGAGAGAGAGAGAGAGAGAGAGAGAGAGAGAAGAAACAGAGAGAGAGATCTTCCATCTACTGGATTACTCCACAAATTGCCACAACACCTGGGGTTGGGCTAGGCCCAAGCCAGAAGCCCAGAACTCCATCTGGGTGTTCCATGTGGGTGGCAGGGTCCCAAGCACTTGGGCCATCTTCTGCTGCTTTCCCAGGTGCACTAGCAGGGAGCTGGATCAGAAGTGGAGCAGCCTAGACTCAGACTGGTGCAGATAAGGGATAGTGGCATCGCACGCAGCAGCTTAACGCGCTATGCCACGGAGCCAGCCCTGGGGGAGCTTATTTTTGCTCAGGGTACATCCAGCTTATAATTGGGTTCTTCCCCTGAGAACATCTCTAGGAAGAAACACCAACCTTGACCTCTTTGGGGAAAGTGGCCCTGGGATCTGAGCATCCTCCCACCAGCTGGGTTGGAATTGAGCCCAAGTGAGCACCAAGGTTGTGGGGCGGGGGGGACACCTCCGGCTGGAGGAGCAGGGAGAGACGGGGTGGGCCTGGGAAGGGGACGGCGAGCCGTACCAGGATGAGATATCGGGATCGGTACTGCACGGTGCCGAAGATGCCCAGGATGACCGCCATGATGTGCAGGAAGTTGGCCAGGATGGGCGCCCACTGGTAGCCCAGGAAGTCAAAGATCTGCCGCTGCAGCGCAGCCACCTGTGGAAGAGATGGGCTGAGGCCACGGTCACACCTGGGAGGCCTGTGGAGCGCGTGACAGCTGTGCCATGAGACACAAGATTCAGTGCCATCCAACCCACGGGTACCAAAGAGATGCTGAGAGGCAGGGGCAAGTCTGTGCAGGTGGAGGCCTCCCTACGCATGGTCATCACTTTGGGGCTGCTGGAGGGAGCCAGGAGCCAGGGCTCAGACCCCTTCCTCCCTGCCAGGGGCTCCCTACCAGCAGCTCAGGCTCCTACCCCTCCCCATTGTGTAGTCAGGATCTGGACTGCCTCTCCCTGCCCCAGCTGACGGCTCCAATAATTTCCTGAGCCTGAGCCACCTCCTCCGAGGTTGTGGGATCCATGGGTTAGAGAGCATTTTCCTTTTTTTTTTTTTTTAGATTTATTTTATTTATTGGAAAGGCAGAGTTACACAGAGATCTTCTACCAGCTGGCTCACTCCCCAAATGGCTGCAACAGCCAGGGCTGTACCAGCCCAAAGCCAGAAGCCAGAAGCTTCATCCGAGTCTCCCAAGTGGGTGCAGGGGCCCAAGCACTTGGGCCATCTTCCCCTGGTTTCCTAGGGAGCCTCATTCGAAGTGGAGCAGCTAGGGCTTGAACTGGCTCCCATATGGGATGCCGGCATCACAGGCAGCATCTTAACCCGATGCACAACAGCGCCAGGCGCAGGGGTTCCTTTTCTCTCTCCTTTCCCCAGGGAGGTGGAGTAGTTTACAAAACTGGCCTCAAATTCTGCCTCTTGCTGTTTCCATGCTCTTTGGCAGTGCCCGCACACATTAACTCTGTGTTCAGTCATGTGACTTGCCCAAGAGGACTCTAGCAAATGTGATGCAAAGGAAGGCTTGAGATGTGCATGGGAATCGGTGCTTCTCTCTCTCTCTCTCTCTCTCTCTTTTTTTTTAATTTGACAGATAGAGTTAGCCAGTGAGAGAGAGACAGAGAGAAAGCTCTTCCTTTTCCGTTGGTTCACCCTCCAATGACTGCTGTGGCCGGCACGCTGCGGCCGGCGCACTGCACTGATCCGAAGCCAGGAGCCAGGTGCTTCCTCCTGGTCTCCCACACGGGTGCAGGGCCCAAGCACTTGGGCCATCCTCCACTGCCTTCCCGGGCCACAGCAGAGAGCTGGCCTGGAAGAGGAGCAGCCAGGACTAGAACCCGGCGCCTATATGGGATGCCGGTGCCTCCAGCGGATTAGCCAAGTGAGCCCTGGCGCCGGCCCCTAGCCTGCTTCTCTTGTGACACAGATCTTGTGAACAAGCCCAAGCTCACCTGCTGTGGAGGAGAGGCCACGGGCAGGAGAGCCGAGGCAGCCCTGCTGATGGCCCACCCACATTCAGACATGTAAGTGAGGCCATCCAAGGTAATTCCCTCTCTGCCCCCACCACCTGTTGGCCACAGTCACAGAGTCCAGACCAGAACGTCCCTGCTGACCCATAGGATTGCGAGACATGAAATGAAATGTTTTGGAGTGATTCATTATGCAGCAAAAGCTAACTAGGATATGAATGCATTCATGTTAAATGTTAAAATGGAATTAAAAGGTAAGTTTAGAGACCAGCATTGTGGCACAGTGGGGTAAGCCGCCGCCTCTGATGCCAGCATCCCATATTAAAGTGCCTCTTCGGCTGGTGCCGTGGCTCAATAGGCTAATCCTCCGCCTGCAGCGCCGGCACACCGAGTTCTAGTCCTGGTCGGGGCATCGGATTCTGTCCTGGTTGCCCCTCTTCCAGTCCAGCTCTCTGCTGTGGCCCAGGAGGATGGCCCAAGTGCTTGGGCCCTGCACCCGCATGGGAGACCAGGAGAAGCACCTGGCTCCTGGCTTCAGATCAGCGCAGTGCGCTGGCCGCAGCACGCCGGCCACAGCGGCCATTGGAGGGTGAACCAACGGAAAAGGAAGAGCTTTCTCTCTGTCTCTCTCTCTCTCACTGTCCACTCTGCCTGTCAAAAAAAAAAAAAAAAAAAAAGTGCCTCTTCAAGTCCCACCTGCTCTACTTCCAATCCAGCTCTCCGCTAATGCACCTGGGAAAACGGCCAAAGATGGCCCAAGTGCTTGGCACCCTGCCACCCATGTGGGAGACTTGGAAGGAGTTCAACAACTCTTGGCTTTGACCTGGCCCAGTTCCAGCTTTGACCTGGCCCAGTCCCAGCTGGTTTTGCAGAGCAAACTAGTGGATGAAAAAAATCTCTCTCCCTATCTTGCTGTAACTCTCTCTTTTTTTTTTTTTTTTTCCTTTTTAGGATTTCTTTTATTTATGTGAAAGAATTATAGAGAGCGGTAGAGACAGAGAGACAAAGGTCTTCCATCTGCTGGTTCACTCCCCAAATGGCCACAACGACTGGAGCAGAGCTGATCTGAAGCCAGGAGCCAGGAGCTTCTTCTGGATCTCCCATGTGGGTGCAGGGGCCCAGGGACTTGGGCTATCCTCCACTACTTTCCCAGGCACATTAGCAGAGAGCTGGATCAGAAGTGAAACAGCCAGAACTTGAACGGGCACCCATATGGGATGCTGGCACTGCCGGCCAGGGCTTTAATCTGCTGCACCACAGTGCCGGCCCCAACTCTTTCAAACAAATAAAATAAATTCATTAAATCGTTTTTATTAAAAAAAAAAGGTAAGTTTATTTTGGTGCAAAAAATGTTTTGAAACTCATGCCTACTTTTCTCATCGTCAGCATTTCCCACAAACTGTTGGAAGACCCCGCCCAGAGCCCCCAGCTCAATCTTAGGAATAAAGGAGCTAAGGACACCCATGGTGCCCGATTGCCAGCACCCTTCCTCTGGTGACAGAATCCTTCTCTGGGTTCTGGGACACTCCCACGGCCACTCTGTCCATGTGACTTGGACGAACTGACACCCCGAACCCAGGCTGAGTCAAATAATCAAAGCCACAGTGACGGGCTCTGGCGTGGGCACTCACCCTGTGTCCTGGCCCTGTCACCTGGCTATCTGCAGGAGCGGCTGGGACAGGCTGCTCTGAGTGGGGACGGTGTCAGCTTGGCGCTCCTGGTGGCCATCTTTATCACCACAGGGGCGTGGCCTACCTGAGGAAGAAGCCACCACTGGGGGAGGGGAGGGAAGGGGTGAGGAGTAAACCGCAAGGGGAGTGCCTGGGGACAGGGTGTGAGACTGCAGGATCGAGCCTTGTCAACAGCTAGCTCTCCTCCTGGTACAAGGAGGGGTTCACAATGTTTGCAGGGAAATGGAATTAAGTTTTAAAAATACCAACTTGATTTCTCAGCAGAAGCTCCAACAAGTTCACTTTTGCAAGCAATGAAACCAGATATTGAGTCTGTCCCTAACACAGAGCCTCCTAGGGATGTCTCCATGCCTGTGCCATCTTGTCACCTTAACTGAAGAATACTGAGTGCCTTTTAAGGCTTTTCTTCTTTTCTTTTTTTCTTTTTGACAGGCAGAGTGGACAGTGAGAGAGAGACAGAGAGAAAGGTCTTCCTTTGCCGTTGGTTCACCCTCCATTGGCCGCCGTGGCCGGCGCACCGCGCTGATCCAAAGGCAGGAGCCAGGTGCTTTTCCTGGTCTCCCATGGGGTGCAGGGCCCAAGCACTTGGGCCATCCTCCACTGCACTCCCGGGCCACAGCAGAGAGCTGGCCTGGAAGAGGGGCATCCGGGACAGAATCCGGCGCCCTGACCAGGCTAGAACCCGGTGTGCCGGTGCCGCAAGGCAGAGGATTAGCCTAGTGAGCTGCGGCGCTGGCCATTTTCTTCTTTTCTTTTTTGAAGATTTATTCATTTTATTTGAAAGGCAGAGAGAGAGAGAGAGAGAGATCTCAATCTTTCATCCCCTAATTCACTCCCCACAATAGCCAGGGCTGGGCCAGGCCAAAGCCAGGAGCCAGGAGCTTCATCCAGGTCCCCACGTGGGTGGTAGGAGCCCAAGCACTTGGACCATCTTTTGCTGCTTTCCCAGGCCATCAGCAGGGAGCTGGATGGGAAGTGGAGTAGCTGAGATGAATCAGGGCCTGTATGGGATGCTGGGGTCTCAGGCAGCGGCTTATCCCTCTACGCCACCCTGCTGGTCCGCTTTAAAAAGGTCTTTAAGATTAGGAAACACAAAGAAATAAGGAGCAAACCAGAGCTGGAAGGTGGATGCCTAAGGCTGTCCATGGAGACGCTCATGAAATTGCCCTTGTCTGCTGAGAGGGGCGAGCAGTAACGCTGTCGAGGAGCAGGACTCTTGCCAGGCGTTGGGAGAGCTGTGGTTCAGTTCCTTACGGCACCGTCCCCGTAAGCAGATGCTACCACTTGTTGGCCCTCCAGAAGATCAACAAGCAAAATGCCTTGAGCACCCCCCAAGCCTGCTGTCAGGGCCTCTGCTCCCACGCCCTCCTCCTGGTAGCGCTTGCTTTGATTGCGCGTTGTCTTCAGGTAAAGTCCTGCTTCATCTCCTGTTACAATTCATAGAAGGAATGCTTCAGAGCTTTGTGTTGTTTAGGATTTATTCATTTATTTATTTGAAAGCAGAGTTACAGAGAGAGGGAGAGGCAGAGGGAAATCTCCTATCTGCTTGTTCACTCCCCAAAAGGCCAGGGCTGGGCCAGGCTAAAGCCAGGAGCCAGGAGCTTCATCTGGGTCTCCCACATGAATACAGGGGCCCAAGCACTGGGGCCATCTTCAGCTGCTTCTCCCAGGCCATAGCAGGGAGCTGGGTCGGAAGTGGAGCAGCCAGGACTCTAACCGGTGCCCATACAAAACGCATGGTGCTGCAGGCGGCAGCTTTACCCTCCACACCACAGCGCCGGCCAGCCTTGCTTCAGGGATCTTGATCCTACTTGTTTAAATTTCCATTGAAAGCGATGCTCTTGTCTGCAGCTGATCCGGGTCCAAAAATGTTGGCACCGCCAAGCAGAGCTTTGCTCCAGTCTAACTTTTCAGTTAGAATCGCGTCAGCTGAACCCACTGGGACGGCTATGGTGTTGGCTCTTGTTCCTGCTGTTAATTATCGGTCCTCTTCGATTAG